CTTATTGTGCCCTACCCAGACGGTTTTCGACCTCATTCCTGCACAAATGGTATCAGAGGGGGCTTCGAATTCAAACCATGTGCAAATCTCCGAAATTACTTTTTCGTGAACAGTGCCTTTAAGCCCACGACTACAAGACCTTTGATCAGGCGTGGTGCAGTCGAATCGAAATGGTCTCTTCGCGGCGGGAACGACGTCGCGCAGGAGGGAATGTAGCAGATGAAGCAGCAGCAGCTCAGCGAGTAAGGAATCCAGGAATAAAAGAAATAGCAGTAGAATCATGCCAACAATAATAATCGAAGATCGATCGAGCTGTATGAAGAGCACTACAACAGCAATAACGAGACAGCTAGTCCGCGACTGTCGCGTGCGGCGTATCGATTACACAAAACTGCTTCAACTGCCCTTTCGAGTTGTGGTGTGCCTTGGCTATACTTGAGAACTCCCTCTCCATCACGATATCTCCACTTCAGTCTACACAACGAAAATTGTTTGACTTGTGTCGCGCAAAGTACCAAATGCTCTTCTTACTATCCAGTAGTTATGCAGAGGTCATATAGATTTTTCTTTGGCTGCTACCAGTTTCTATAAGTAGTTCATGATTAAAAGTGTTACCTTGGTTGAGGAAATTTGAAAGCATAGCAGCGGCGACGGCACTTTTAACATCGGAGTCGTTGAATATGATCAGTGCCGATTTTCCTCCGAGTTCTAGCGTGACCTGCAGTTAATGAAGTTGCAAGATTGAAATGGGGAATGGCTGTACTAGGATGATCGAGAAGTCGTGCAGTACCGGTTTGACATTCTCAGTTGCTGCTTGCCTTTGTACAGCCATACCGCCAGCAACGGAACCAGTGAATGAGAGTTTTCTGATCAGTGGGTGGACGCAAAGAGCGCTGCCAGTTTCTGCCTCTCCCTTAATTGGAATGAATTGATCAGCAAGCCACTAGACTAGCGTAGGTATAAAATACATGGTCAAAAATAGGTGATTTTTCACCTCAATATTGATAACTCGAAATCAGGATAGAAATGAGAGCCCAGAGTTATGAAAACAGTCAGAATCTGTGGAAGCGTAGAGCGACTTATTAGAGCGTACATGTCTTTTGAAGATCTTGAATGGTATGGGTAGCGTAATCCTTCTATCGAAGTGTAGACAACATAACCCACCTGCACCACATTGTAGACTCCATCAGGTATACCAGCAGCGGTGAGAATCTCTCCAAGAAGTACTGGTGAGGCCGGAGCGAAAGGAGATGGTTTATATACGACCGCGTTACCGCCAGCTAGAGCAGGTGCGACCTGAAGTTCTCAAATGCACCTTCGAAGAGTGGTTTATTGAGCACCCTCTTGTAGCACCTTCCAAACGCAAGTCTGTAATGGATAGTTCCAGGCTCCGATGCAACCAACAACTCCCAGCGGCTCCCGACGAGTATAGGCAAAACGCTGTGTAGGACCACCTGGCAGGTCGATTTGATCACCTATAACAAGACATGGATCATTTCTATGATTGTACACAGACATCAAATCATCATTAGCAAAGGAACTGATTTTTGGGCCTAAAATGCCTTCTATTTCGGCAGGTTTCGAAGATAGAGAACACCTCAAAGATCTTGGTAATTATTTTCGAAAACCTGGTAACTTAGGTTTCACAGTTATAAATCGCAAATCATGGGCTTTATCTAGTTCAGGACCGTGGGCTTTACATAAATGGTAAGGGTGCTAATGAGAAAACACGAAAAACAAAAGCGTCAAGCTGGCGGAAGATGGCATGGTAAGATGATAGCGTTAAGGCACTTCCAGGGACTCAGGCATGACAGCATGACTTAACGCTGGGATTCCCGATGATGATCTATTTGAAAGTCCTTTCATTCGAGAGGACGACGTCATTATATTGCTGCTAAAACCAGCTCTTCAACAGCGGGCGGCAGAATTTTGTAACAGTTCCATCCGTTTGTGACAGCAAAAGTAACATCGACGACTTCTGTGTAGAAATATCCAACCTTGCAGTACCGCTGCAGCGACACCTCCGTAAAAGTCGAATGTGTCAGCGGATGACTCGATGTCAATACGGGCTTCATAAATCGGTTTGCCATTTGTTTTCACTTCCCATCGAGCGATCTCTTCAAGGTTGTCCTAGCAAAAGAGGAAGTTGAGCTGAGATTGAGGTATGTATCTTGACTTTTAAAGTGAAAAATCAAAAAAAAANAAAAAAAAATTGCAATGAAATCGCAAAAAAACAGATAGCGGTGGCTCCACGAGGAGGCACCATTGCACGTAACGCTTTTACGCTTTGCTGCAGAAGTAAGTGAACTGTAGCGGTGGAGTTAGAAACTTCGAAAAACCAACTCTCATGATTTCAGCAGCCTTCCTTAGAAATTTTCCTCGTTCAAGCGCAGTGAGCTCTCCCCATGCAACTTGGGCTCTCGATGCCAATTGTACAACTTGATCCACGATCTTTTTGTCGGCAATAGGACACTTTGCAACGACGGCTCCTAAATGATAGCTGCAAAACTATCTTACCATCCGGATTCGGTTGAAGTTCATTATTAATATAGCCTCCGATTTTTTAAATAATTTAAATATTATTTCCGGAAATATCTTCAATTCGACCACCCCACATTTGAGGTGACTTAACCGAGATAAAATGTATCAAAATCTATCACTAACCTATCCGAGGCTCTATGACATCGAAAGTCGATGCACCGCTGACGGTTGTCCTTTTGCCGTTAACGAAGTATAAACCACCAGAGAGATCTGTGGGAATCGGTAATTGCATCTTTTTCTGAAAAGACATGCAGTGATTTGATGAGTAAGAAACCGTGCGGCATCTGTACCCATCGAAACGAAGGAAAGGAAGAAAAAAAGCTGCTTTGCATTTGCTCCAATTTCAGCTTAAAAATTACAACTCAGTTATCTCGAAGTACACATCCACCCCTTCTTCGAATTTGAGTTGCCTTACAACGCGTTTGATTTTGAGGCACAGTCCGGGATGGAAATGGTTTCCAAGATAACCTATTTAGGGTGAATTCCTGGTCCCCAATGATAACACATGGGCTGCTGTCAAGTGGAATGCCCTAGCTATGGAGTAACGAGGGCTTAAAAATGTCTCCATCGTACAGAACACCCAAAACGGCCACCTTTTGATTCTCATGCAGAGGCGGCACCATTCAAAAGGGAGCACAGGGATCCTTACTTCATATAAAGCAATCGTGTCAATCTTCCTGTCATGAGGTTAGTTGTTGCCTGAAGAAGCACCTCGAGAGGTTGGTTTAAGCATGGAGTGGCGGGGCCTGGACAAGATCGACGGAGTATATATAGACTTGGCGGAGCTTCGTCCAAAGGAAGTGAACATACACTCCCCTCCCTTATTTGGTTATAGAAAGCTCAGAAATTGAGGAAAAATGGGCAAAAATGGGTCAACGAGTCAGAAGAAGAAGGAAACACGTCTATGGTTTTGGGAAGGTTGGCCATGTCTTCATAGAGAGTGGAGCTAAGATTAAAGTTTATACTCTGTTTAAAAGATTCCAAACTCCGGAGTAGTATTGGAGGTTGATGAGGGATAAAAGGTCATATACATACTCGGGGTATGCGCGGCCTTCGTCCAACCCCTCCAAGGCCGTCGTAATAATCTCGTACAACCTCTTTCCCCACTTCTCTCTTTCGTTTCCATTCCATCAATGCGCTACTCTGCAGTAAACTACCAAAGGTAGCATAAAATTATTAAAGTTATCGTGAACTGTGCTTTTAGGCAAACGCACAGCTGGTCAAAGTTCGCCTCATAATTAAATTCTTCACAGGAAGGCTTTGCCCAACACACCTTGGAGCACCACACATCACGATAGTGCATGTCTACATCAAACTCTGACTCTACCTTCTACTCAGTGCTCTACCTCTTTAAAATCTTTCTGAAATGAGGACTAGGAAGCCTGGTAAACATTCACAAAGGACTATACAGCATAATGCCAGGATTTACGTTCAAGGTGCATCAAAAAATCTTCCGTCTTCATCAAAAAATCTTCCGTCTTCATCAAAAAATCATTATTATAAAGAACAAGAAGAAAATTGGAGACTATTATTATTATTATTAAATTTATAAAAAAGATATTATAATTACAAAATGATGTGTAGCTTTGACTGAACTAGAAAAATCTTCATCTTCAGGAGTACAGTAAGTCAACAAAACTCTTCTTACTCTGAACAAGGAACTTCCCATATATCCGCATACACTATCATGATGAAGCTCGGAAAAAACTTCGAAACCCATACAAGG